TCCAAGATATTCACAAGTCTTCATACCAAGATATGCTCCAAAACCGTTGCAAACAAGAACATCCATGATCCACTGTTAAAAGAATAAGTGGCTTACATAAATTTCACAGAATAAATAGTTACTAAACACACTCCACACCATACAATGCAAACACATCTATCCCCTTGATCCAAACCAAATGGATCTTAATTGTATTTGAAGCACTTTAAAAAGGACATTTTAGTGACAAGATTATAATTATTTGGCAGTCTATTTTTGCTAGCTTGACTGTTGGGTTATGGTCTATGGCCAAGTAAGGCATTCTAAGAAGTGAACCTAATAATAATAATTTAATAATAATTTATTTACTTCTATAGCGCCCTTTAACATTTATATGATCAAAGGCGCTTTACAATTAGTGTCTCTTCCACCCATCCCACCCCAGGGGAGGACATCCACCACACAGTAATCTCGTGCGTGGGAAATTAACGTCTCCTACCCCAACCCTGCAGGAGACGGGGCCTACGGTTTTACGTCCTATCCGAGAAGACGAAGCAATGTGAGTGAAGCGTCTTGCTTAAAGACACAACGTCATGCTCCAGCCAGGACTTAAACCCGGGCCGTCGGACCCAGAGTCCAGCACACTGACCACTGGACTACTCACGCCTAAAAGACCCCACGACAGGCAATATTACCTTACCCCTCCCCTGACCCAATAACAGTCAATTGATAACAATTTAGGGCCAGGGGAGGGATAGGTGAGCAGTTGTTCAGATAATTACATTAATCAAAAGCCTGATGACCCAACCATCAAGCTGCATTGAATTTTTTTTAACCTTTTGATCTGGTAAATGATGATTTACAAAGGCTGAAGGGGGTAAGGATATCGAAACCCACAATTTTGAACACGTTAATGCACACCGTCCAAGTACTTATCAGGGCTTTCTACCAACTGGACTCTTTTAGGAGTGTTCTGTATATTTACCTATAAATTAGTCACGGGTTTGAGAAGCAACATCACACCTGCTTATCATCATCCCTTGTAATGAAACTGTTGAGTAGTTACAAGGAATCACAGGATTAAAGAAAATTATCATTTGAGGAGTTGAACTTACATGATCCCACCAACATTCACTAAAGTTTGGTAACTGATGCTCCAAGGAATACTCCAAGACTTCAAAGAGAACACTGATGACAGTCAATAACCAATAGTCACGCAGAATGAGTGCCTACAAACACAAAATTGGTCATAAAAAGTAAAAAGGAATACACACTTGGCAAGTTGCAAAAAAGAGAGACAATTTTATGCCAAACAAGCAATTAGTCACTCAAAGGATTCTTTCACTACCAACCAGTAACAGATAAGAGAACCCCCAGCTAGAAATGTCTGTAATCTCAATGCTTCACTTCAACAACTTCACCTTACCTTTGCCCACCATCCAAAGAAATGAGCTGGTAAAAAGACATCACACTTCTCCTGTGGGGCATTAAAGAATGACAGTGCTTAGAGAAGGGTACATTTAGACTCAAAATAATGTTTCCAACATTCTGAGGGTTCTTTACTTTAAGAAAATATTTTTGATCAAAGAGAAATTTGCTAACTTGAACCAATTATGTTGCAATCTCTGCTGCTAAACAATTTATTTGATGAATGTTTGATTTTCAAAACACTCAGAACAACTAATTAATTTGGGGTGAAAAAGCAAACCCTGTATACCCCAAAATCAGTACCCATAATTTCCATACTCTTCTCTATTCATTTCCTATGCCGCTGATATTTTTTGACGGTTTAACTCTCAAAGCTTCCTAAGTCAGCAATGACCAGTATTTCCTTTATTCTGACTCATGATCTTAATGAATGATTCAGCAGTATTACTGTGAGGAGAAATTACATGTAGATGCCTGTTGCTTTTAAGTTTAAAGGGTTAAAAATTTAACTTGCACCTACAAGAAAGGTATGGAATGATCCCTTGGGATGTCCAGGAGTGTACAACCTACAGTCTTCCCCATAAGATTGCTCAGGCAATGGTTTCCCCAAATCTTCGTCAAGATACTTCAATAACTGCCTTGCATCATGGGTTGTCTGAAAATAATTTTGCATGCAGAGGTAAGTTAAAAAGAGAACAATGAGGGCCAAAATGAGAATATCAGCAGTATTCATGATTGCAACAAAAAAATCTAAATAATTTTGTTAGCGTAAGTAATTGTCTAATATAAACAGCAGACTTTACCAGTTGAAGAGGTGTTAACAATGACAAATAACATATATTTACCAAAAACCATACCTGGAATAAAAGAAAAATTAGAGCCAATTCATAAACAACACTCAGGCAAAGAATGATACGCCAGAAAGCTGAAAATCAAAACAGAGAGCTTGAGATTAAGAACATGTTATTCATGGGTTGGTCTGCAGTACATTTGTGGACAATGGTAATATTTAATGCCTTTTACAACATACTGATGCAACACTAGGGGTCAAACCTATGGTTGCCCCTTAGGAATTTGCCACCACAATGATAGATTTTGCCCCCGACATGAATCAACTTAATCAGCATGCCTATTTAGCAAATAGAATTAAATAAGGTATAGCAGCAAAGTTTTCAACAGGACAGGGTGGGGAAAATTTGTCAGGTAGGGGAGACTTTGTAAATAAAAAAACCTCCGTAAACCAATGCGCTTCATGGTGTTTTAAGCATCTTTAAAATTAAGCCTGAGTTTTTCAAATCTATCATTAGCAATCTGTGTGATTGTCTTGATGTATTGATCTATTATAATTGAAACCATCTCTACCTCATGTGGTTTCATCTCAGGTGTTCATCTTTTGAACAAAACAACTATTTTAAAGGTTTATTACATTTTGGCCAATCAATCACATACCTGGGTGAGGTCGTTTGAATGGACCATCGCTAATCTGAGTAACCCCAAACAACAAAAACACAGCTATACAGGCTATAAGTCCTCTGAAACAACATAACATGCAAATATCATGTTACACCCTTAAGAGCAAAAGTGTCACAAAAAGTAATTAAGTACTAATTCTGGTTGACAGTGGTTTTACTTTTCTATAATTAGTGATTGGTCTAGAAAGCTGATACCACCCTGACAAACAATTACAAGTGAATCCACAACTAAAGGCACGACTGTCGTCAGGCACTACGCTTGTTTATTTGATTTGCCCCTTCATGCCCTGTGATATTTTCCTGTGTTGTCAGTGGTAATTTTGAGTATTTTAATTCTGGTTTAACAATACTCAGTCAAAATGTGCTCTAAATTGCAGAATTTGATCACTAATTCTCTCTTCTGGCTGATTTATAGTTCCTTATTAACTGGCTGTTAACCCTCTACACCCTAATATGAGTATGCATATTTTCTATACTATTTGCTATACATTTCCTTAGGTGCTGACAAGGGGAATTTGTGTGATAATTCAAATTCTCTTTTGGTTGGAAATCATTTTCTTTATTCCTGTGACTCTAATGCTTGATTCAGGGCTGATATTGTAAGGAAATCTAAGATGCTAGTCACTCTTAGGGTCAAGGGATTATGAAAATTGAGAGTTTATTAAAAAAATACATCTTAATTCTTATCACCTGTTTACTAAATAATTTCATATAGACTTTTAGTAGGAAATTACATGTCGATCACCACTGAGAGATTCATGTTAGGGTAATGACACAAAGTCATGTCTAGGCATAGTTTACTGGTTTTATCACATTTAGCCTGCCACAATAACATCCATATAAAACCTGCATTTTACAACCTCCAATTAACCACTTCAACACACATTAGATATGGGTGTTCATTCAATAAACGCAGAGCTCACATATTAATTTGCAAAAACAATTTTTTGCCCACCTCTCCATTGACTGTGATGCCATGGTCATCACCTTTTTTACTGGGGGGAGGAGGGGGGGGATGGAGGCACAATCCCCCAGAAAATTTTGAAAAAAACGAGTAGCTAAGATGGGGATTCCTTTACCTGAGCACTTGTACAAAGAGTTTGAAGTGAGTAAAAGGGAACAAGGAGTAACAGTGGCTCTGCACAAGAATCTTCATTGTTGGAAAGAGTTTGAAGCAAGTATAAATGTAAAAAGGAGCAAGTTATATCTAAAAAGTTAATTAAATTAATTTTATTGGTAATTAACTTAAGCAGCAGATTACCCACTCAAAATCAGCAGTTTAAATCAGAAGCCTTTAATACATGAGAAATAGTTGTTTTATCCTTAAATATTATCCCTGAATCACACATTAAGGTCATGAGAATGAATAAAATGATTACCCACTGAAGCTCACGATTGTCGAACAAATTCTCCTTGACAGCTCCTCAGAAAATGTTTAGGGAACAGTAACGAGAATATGCTTACTGATTTTAGGGTGTAAAGGGTTCAACTATACTTGTGGTCACGTCCATTTTTTCTATAAAAAATATTCATACCTCTTTGTGTTGTATTCACTGTTTTCCTTAGTTTTCTCAAAAGCTCCAACATAAACCAACACACAAAGCATAATTAGAAGTACTGTCACTGTGTGCGCTCTCCTGAGAAAAATCATAAGCCATAATAATTTTAGAAGTAAGTCTTATCCATTTTCACAGAGCAATTTCATTAAATGTACAAGCATTAATCTCACATGCACTTAATAAACCACTGATCCTCACTGCATCTGACTGTTCCATAACTGACACCAACTTGGAATAAAGGGTGTAGGTTTCTAGAGAAACAGTAGTGTGGCATTGGTGGGTATTACTAGATAATTTGGTGTTGTGGGCTGGTAATGTGAGTTGGCCACACTGGTCAGCTTTGAAACTCTTCATGGAGCCCAATTTACATTACCAACTCAGTTGATAAAACCAAATTATATTTTGACACCAGCTTTGATTCTTTTAATCTCATTTGGCTAAAAACCAAGAAGTGTCCATGATTACTTTGTGAACTTCTTATTTCAAGGGCAAGTATTATGGGGATAAAGTGCACTTGGGTACGTGATAAAATCTCTCAGGGCTACAAATCATCGCATCATGCATGCATGCATGCATGCACATGTTGCTACCATAGCATTGCTTGACCGGACACATACAAAGAGCAATCATACAGTAGTGTATATACATCGGATACATGTATGAAACCTAAACTGAGATAAAAGTTTTTACTTCAGCGGATGCAAAATACAGGAAAGTAGTAAAAATTAAGGAAAAAAATAAAGCACTTCTGATAGAGCTTCATCAATCGAAGCTGCTATGTACATAAAGTAATCAAGACATGATTACTTAATACACCTGCTTGGGGAAGTAAATTTATCACGCAAATAAGGGCGATCGAGCGCAACGAAAACCTCATTAGCTATGGAGACTTCTCCAATATGACCGGCCGCTTGGCTCACCAGAAATAAGTGTTGGTTCCATCGTCAGAAAACTGCTGAGTCTGTTTGATGTCCCACTCGCACTTTATGCTGAATGGCCGCCGGTCATCTCCTTTATCGTGTCCATTAGCCCTAACGATGTCCTTATCATGTGCCTGACCATTTTGGTGGCTTGCACCTTCCTTAGGCTTTGTCATCCTCTCTGACTGCGACACTGCTTAGTGGACTAGCCAAGCTTTTCGCATTAAACTGATTTCGAAATAAAACGGTGACCTTACGACACCGAAAATGAGCAACAAAAGATTATGTACATTTCCAGCATGCACATGCAAAAATATCGAAATATTACTGGACGTGGAAAGATTGGGATCTAGACTGAAACACATTCATCCCCAGGAGCTCTGGTCACATGCCCGATACTCGTCATAGTAACCTCTAGTAACCTTGCCATTAGAGAATTTCAACCTTGCGTTGAATGACGTGAGAGATTCCTATTTAATGTTGATTAAAGTAAAAGAACCTAGCCCGTTGCCGTTGATACGGAGAAAAGAAGACGAAAAAAACCGGGTTTTTTTACAACAACGCTCTGCATACTCAATAATATCCGTTTCGACGGTGTCAGTAAGCTGTTTGTGAACGTTTACTGAGTCCAAGGGCACAAACAGAAAGGTAACAGTTCTCCCTTAGCCTTGCCCGGGTTTTACTTACTTCTGACAGAAAGTTCCTTGCACCAAAAATCCGGCTGTAAATTCGAGCGCGTAACAGTATGAAAAATGTTTTGGCACGTTGAGGAAATTTTTTATTTTGTCAGGCAAACCATTCGACAAATTTTTTAGAAACTGCCTGATATAAATTATGTTCGTTGGTACACTAAGAGAAAATGTGACCTTGTTAGAGAAGATGTTGAAAGAACAAAACAGACCTGCGATACTCATTTTTTGGGAAAATCATTATCCTTGCTATTTGAAAACTACAAATTTTACATTTATAAGTCGGAGGATGAATATATATTTTTTATTCCAATTTATTTTTCCATGTTAGTAACTCTATCGCAGTTATAGACTGTTTTACGAATAAAACATCACAATAATTTTAATCGGTAGAATATAATCATGTGATTAAAAGCAACATTTGTCACGGGGGGGGG